TTATTTTTCGATTTTGCAAAGCCAACAACTCATCTACAGAGAAGGAAAGAGATATGCATATTTTGAAAACATCAAAAGAAAGCAGAAACAATATATAAATCTTCTGGAAAATATTGACCATGTGTTTTGTCCATGTAGCATTGACGACTAATATATTTCATCAATCTTCTAGTATTAATAAAATATATCTTTTCTGTGAACTGCAGATTAGAGGCATTTGAAGTATACTAGTGACATCTCTAGAATTCTCTTTCCATTTCTTTTTCAAGATATTTTTAACTAATACAATTAGTACAAATACTATTGTCTGTTTGGTTAGTACTGAAAACTGAAGAAATGTAAAATAAGACATAAGGTTGAAGCTAGCAGTGTTACATTCTGACAAATAACACAGTTCACTTTGCAGTAGTTATGAATCAGATGGTTTATCTCAGGGCTCTGAACTTTATGATGACTGAGAACTATTTCAGTGCTTTAAGATCTGTGGGTGTCTGAGATGATTCAATCAGTTGTGACATGACTGGTAAAAATTAGAGCAATTCAGAGAATATATAGCAACTTCTTGGAGGAAGTTACTAGGTGTGTTACATTGAGAATTTCCCTTTCCAGAAATGTGAAAAAGTTAGTGGAGTAAAATAATAAAATAAATATTTTTTTCACACAAAAAAGGAAATTCACTGCATTGGGATAAAAAGCAGACTTAAACTAAAAGTAAAATAATTTTCATTTCACAAGCAGACAGTACATATAAAAATAATTTGCTTCTTTCACCTTCTTGAGCATAAATTGTTCTTCTAAGGAGAATGGACTTGTGTTGAAAAAGCTGCAGTATATATAAGCAATCAATGTTGATTCATCAACAGTAAACTGAGCTGTTCCCTAAACAAGTAATAGTGTATTCAGTTCATGATGAATAAAAACTCCTAGACAATCATATAACATCCCACAGATGACTGAATGAGTATCTCACTGCATTCTGAATGCAGAAGTAAAGATATGGTGACAAATATTATCTGCAGTTTGCCTTCATCACGTGATAGCAGTTCAGAAGGAATTGCAGATAGGCTTGCTAATCCATTAAAACTGACTGAAAAAGCACCTCGTCCCATCTCAAGGCTTGTAAGAGAACATGCTTGGAACAATAGTTTTGCTGTCTGCTAGTTTAGATAAAGCAAAGGGGAATGAGTGGCTTTAAAGCT